CACCAGTCACTGTAAGACCCGCCCTCTAATATACGCCAGTCACTGTAAGCCCCGACCTCTAATATACACCAGTCAATGTAAGCCACTGTAAGCCCCGCCCTCAAATATGCACCAGTCACTGTAAGACCCGCCCTCTAATATACGCCAGTCACTGTAAGCCCCGACCTCTAATATACACCAGTCAATGTAAGCCACTGTAAGCCCCGCCCTCAAATATGCACCAGTCACTGTAAGACCCGCCCTCTAATATACGCCAGTCACTGTAAGCCCCGACCTCTAATATACACCAGTCAATGTAAGCCACTGTAAGCCCCGCCCTCTAATATACACCAGTCACTCTAAGCCCCGCCCTCTAATATACGCAGTCCCTGTAAGCCCCGACCTCTAATATACACCAGTCACTGTAAGCCACTGTAAGCCCCGCCCTCTAATATACACCAGTCACTGTAAGCCACTGTAAGCCCCGCCCTTTAAAGTCGGCATGAAACGGAAGTAGCGATTATCTTTTTTTTTCTACTGTGACGTCTATGCGAGTGAAACGCCATCTGAAATGAGAGGGCGGGACTTGATTTTGTCCTTCTGGAATTGATTGGATCATTGGAAGTTGAGGCGTTGCTAACAAAATGGAGGCAGATCTGAATGCCAGTTTGCAGTTAGTTGTGGGGGGATTTCTCTCCACTGGATTCACCGCCGACTCCCTAGCATGAAGACATTTTATATCTATTGAGGAAGACTACGACAAGGACGATCATCGGCACAAACATGCCTAACAGCGCGCGCGCGCGCGTGCAAGAGAGAGAGAGAGAGAGAGAGAGAGAGAGATATTTGGCGTATATTACGCCAAATTACTGTATTATATTACTTAGATGTATATTTTGCTTCTGTAAATATGTCTAATCCCTTATTTTATTTTTATTTCTAGTTTATATACTTACATACATTAGTAATTCATTTTGCACTACATGCTACATATTTTTTTATATATTATTATTATTACTATTATTATTACTATTATTCTTTTTCTTTCTGTTAATACATATGTGCACTATTTGTAAGCAGTCCAGCTGCAATTGCTTTGGCAATACAAATGTATAATTTTTGTCATGCCAATAAAGCACTCTTAAATTTTGAGAGAGAGAGAGAGAAAGAGAGAGAGAGAGAGAGAGAGAGAGATC